TGGTCATGGAAACTCTCCCACTGCTCAAACGCTCCGTCGAATGTCGGCAATTGTAGACTAGGAAGATGGCTGCTCGTCCTTGACGGTGTCGTCGTTTCGCCGTTGGTGAGCATCGGTGACGACTTGAGCCCAGCGAGCCAATCCGTCATGATGTCCATGGTTTCGTGGAAGATGGTTTCGCAATCGTCGAAATGGTCCTCAGAAAAGTAAAGGATCGTGGCTTTCTCCTTGTCGTCTGCGAGGACGTGCAGTTCGACGTTCATGGTTTTGTACTCGTCGAATGCTTTCTCCAGCTGATTTCTTCGGTTGGTCGTGACGGCTGCGGTCATTTTTTCCTTCCCCAATTTTTTAAAATTGCTTAGGGCGCGCTCGATAGAGCGCATGGCGCATTTCTGTTTCGTGAGCTGTAGCGCACTCATGTTCACAGAAATTTACTTGTGGTCGTCACTGGTCGTCAGTTAAATTTACCCATCCGTCGTGACGTATCGACAAAGAAATTGTGTATGTATTCTTCGGACACGGGTCCCAGATTCCTTTTCAGATACGTGTTTTTGCCAGAACCTTCGTGTATCGACGTCTGGATACTCGGTGTTGTAATCAGTACGATTGAATTTGGATTCTGCATGTTTTCATCGATGATACCGTAGTCATCGTTGCTGTCGTCTTTGCTATGCTCTTGCGCGACTGTAGCATTCATATCACGAGCTGTACATATTTTCTTGCGATGAATTGATTTGTATGGAGTAGAACACATCGAAATACTCGTATCCCGACGTAGTCTTTTTTCGACATCTTTATATCGTGCAATTTTTCTCTTAAACTTACCGGTGTAGGAAGTTGCCATGTAGACGTTGGTGCAAGCGATTTATCGATGTCTGCATGCTGTGGTATTTGTGGAATTGACGCATGTTCAACCAATTGTTTCAAAGGCTCAACTATCGGCCGCAAGTTTGATTCCATCAGTGTATCCTTATCAATCTTTCCAACCTTCAACGCAAGATACTTTTTACGTATGGCTGCACTGGTTGCTGCGATCTTCTGTGTAATCGAATCCATTTTCACTTGTTCACGCTTTTCATCGATGTCATCATGATTCACGTTTACTAGCTGCTGTTTCATGATTACTGTTCAGCAGCCAAAATTATACATGCGTGCAACTACAACGAAGTTCCTTGAACAAATGAGATCACAACGTTACAAAGAACTCCGTAAATCCTCGTCGATATCTGACATGATGTATGGGACTGTCCTTGTCAATCACGAGAAATCTATATTTTGGTTACCAACATCTCACGCACAAATCATTAAATTTTTCAAGCGTCGTATCCACGTTCACATGATCGTGATAGACATGACGTAAATTCATACCATCCTGTTTAAACAGAATTAATAGATTGGCATTGTCACGGATCAAGTGTTTCGGTATTCGAGCATACGACTGTGACAGGTAGAAACAATCCACGTCCGAGTGTCTGCCCATAGTAAAATATTCTCTCATTACCTCCTGTTCATCGCAAACAACGTCATCGAAGATGAATATTGAGTCGGGCTGGGCTTGAGCGGGCGGAATCACATCCACATTATTCGAGAAAGCGAAGTATTCAACATTCTCCACAGACGATAGTACTTCTTCCAAGTATCGATACTTTGGTTGATGCAGTGATTTCGAATACACATAAATATTCTCAAATCGTAGACCATTCGGACTCTCAAATAAACTGACCATTACGTTTGTTTTCCCACAGTTGGATGGACCACATATCACGCAACGTATACTGCATGGTAACAACGAACCATGTTTTCGGCTTTGTTTGTACTAATCGAACGTATGATCGTACGCGGGAACATGAATATTCTTAAATTGTTTTACGAACCACATGACTACATGAATCATGTATGATAATTATTCTTTGGGGGAAGGTATTTATACCAGTGGTTGACCATTGCCGCCATTAGTCTCAACATGTCTTTCATGCTGTTCAGTGATCAAAGTATACTGCATTTAACCGCAGCAGAACTGGAATACATACCCAAGGTTGTATTATTGAAACGTTTTGCTACCAATATTCATCACGTTTGGGAAAAGTTACCGGCTCATATAAAGGCTGATCCGGAAATACAAACGTGTCGTAGATGTTTGGAGCACTATAACCGTCCGGATCAACGTACACACCATTCGAACTACACATACCAAGATATCAGTTTTGCGGACCTGGCACGCGATTACAGGAACGGCTAGCGCGAGGGGATCGTGGTGTGATGCCTTTGAATGCAGCGTGTAAAGAACACGATATAGCATATTCTCAACGTAAAGATCTTCAAGGACGTCACGACGCCGATAAAATTTTGGCTGAAATATCGGGACAACGTGTAACAGCCGCAGACGCATCGTTTGGTGAAAAAGCAGCTGCGAGCGCCATGTGGGCCGCTATGAAAGTTAAAACAAAACTCGGTATGGGGTTAAAGAGAAATAGAAGAGGAAGAAGAAGAAGCAACCCGATTAAAAATTCAACGAAGAAGAAGTATAATAATGCGCAACCGCGGATACTCCAAGCAGCTAAACGCAGCGGTTTTCTACCATTCCTCCTACCCGCATTATCGGCAATAGGAGCGTTGACGGGTGGGGCTGCAGGGGTGGTCAAGGCTGTAAACGACGCCAAGGCTGCGCGAAAACAATTAGAAAAGGCACAACGACATAATCGTGCGATGCAAGGACGTGGTCTATATCTTGCACCGTACAAACACGGAAAAGGCCTGAAGAAAAAAAAGCACAAAAAACACTTGAAATTGAAGCATGAAGAAACTGTACATAACTCAACAACCGATGTCCAGTTGAAAAGCATGTGCAACGGTTTACCGTATTTTCGAGGAGTGTTTATGCGTAACGATTTACCTAAAAAGACATGGTTAAACGAGTGCGTATCGTCAATTTAGATGACGCACGCGAACCTGGAACGCACTGGGTTGTGTATGTCAAACATGGCTTAGATGTTAAATATTTCGATAGTTTTAGAAATCTTCGACCGCCAAATGAGGTGATTGCGTACTGTGGGAAAAGCGCGAAAATCACGTACAATCATACGCAATTGCAAAATTATGATGTGCGGACAATTATGTGTGAAATTTCTCCGAGAAAATGAGTTATAAATTATCGATTAGTTGTAGTCTGTACTCATGGTTGTCGGAGAACATTCTTATGATTAAATATAAGTTTGCAAAATTCGTTCAAATTGCGAAAGAAGCGCGTACGAACGATTCTGTAAATGTGATAACGATGTCCGATGAATATTTTAAAAGAACAGTTTCATCGATTGTGAACTATTGGCTCTGTGTTTAAACACAATCTTGTATGAAGCGTATTAATAAAAAAGCCAAAACAGCATATGTATCTATTGTATTGTATTATATTGTACCGCCATTTCTCCTCCTACTACGTCATCATCGTCGCTTTATCATCGTTACGCGCTCTGTTATCGCCGCCGCGCCCCCACGGCTCCCGTGCGCCCCCTCCCCCGCACCTCCCCCGCGGTCCCCGCGCCAGCACTGCCGCCGCCGCCGCTCTAACTAGAGATGATGCGATGTGTCGGAACAAGATCTCCCCACACCACCGTCATCGCTTACGAATTCTTATCAAGGTCCGACTTATGTACGAGTGCAATAGCGTAATGCCCGAAATATAGGTACGAGTGCAGTAGCGTAATAATATAATTTTATTAAAACTAATACGGCTTATGTACGCGTGCAATAGCGCCAGGGACTGTCGTATCTTATTGTTTAATAATTCCAAGAATCCGTTTGAGTCGGGGGGGGGGGTTGGATTGCTATAGGTACGAGCGCAATAGCATAATAAATCCAAAAATTTTATCAAGGTCACGTCTGGATAATGTACGCGTGCAATAGCCTGAGAACTTTCCGTTGGAGCCGGTTGGGTTTACGATATGTACGCGTGCAATACCGTTTTCAACGATATCTCCGTTGGATCCGTGGGCGAGTATGGTGGAATGAAGCTACATTCCGTCCCGTCGGCAGCCAGCAATTCCGCCGTTTCCACGTAAAACGTGGACGCGGCGTTGAACATACGTTTCAGCAGCTGGTTGGCACCTCTGAACGTCGTGGCATTATCACTCAGCATCTTTTGGCATTTTCCGCGTCGGGCTACGAAGCGCTTGAAGGCGGCGACGAAGGAGGCGGAGGACAGGTCAGACACTGTCGGTCCTAGAAGCGTCGCACGTACGCGATCACCCGAACCAACCTCAACGTCGATGAGAATCGAAGTGGATCCCAGGGCGATTCAAAGACGGCTCGCAGGCTAGGATGCTCGTGGGGCTTCGTTTTACTAACCGTGGTTGTGGCCACTGTCACTGCGCTTCGGAGCCTCGTTCTCGTCGACCTCAAGTGCGCCAGGCCAATCCTCCTGCGGCTGTGACAGCCATGGCGGACCCGTCCACCAGAGGTCATCGTCGACCAAGACCTGCGTTGTCACTCCACGCGTTGCAAGATCCGCTGGGTTTTCGTGCGTCCTGGTGTGTCGCCACTCAACGTCCGGCAGCAGACGCTGGATCTCGGCCACTCTATGCGCCACAAACGGTTTCCACCTGGAAGCATGCGATCTTACCCAGGCTAGGACGACAGATGCATCGGTCCAAGCATGCATCGTCAGACTGTGAGGCTGCATTGCATCTCCTACTGCTTTCAGCAATCGGGCCAGCAGAAGAGCGCCGCACAGCTCCAGTCTGGGAATGCTCTGCGGTTTTGTTGGAGCGATCTTGGTTTTCGCCATCAGTAGGTGCGTTTCGGCCGGTAACTGGCACCCTTATGAAGACGGCTGCAGAGTAGGCTCTTTCCGAGGCGTCGCTAAATCCGTGCAACTCTACATGGTCGCTGGTTGGCGCACGGTAGCCAATCCATCGCGGAACAGAGATCCGATCGGTCCTCTCCATCTCGAATCGGAGGCGTTTCCATCGGTCAGCTAACAGTGGGGTCAGCGGCTCGTCCCACGACTATCCAGATAACCAGAGGTCCTGCAGTAGGATTTTCGCAGTCACGGTAATCGGTGACAGCCAACCTAGGGGGTCGAATAGCATAGCCGTCTCGGACAAAACCACTCGTTTGGTCCATCGTTGTCCTGGTGCTGCAGCCGTGAGCTTCGGAGTCGCAAGCGAAAGCGTATCGTTCGCTGTGCTCCATTTGAGGCCCAGTGCGCCTGTCTCCTGGTGACCCTGCAACAACTCAACAAGATTGGAACTCGACGGCATGTAATTTGTCGCCCACTTGTCCAGCGGGAATCCGCCCACCGTAAAGATGTCCGAAAGCTGGCGTCGAGCCTCCTCTGCATCGCCAATGTCGTCTCCTCCTGCCAGAATATCGTCAACATAGGCGTTCGCTCGGAGCATCGCTGCACCCCGCGGATATCGAGCCTTTTCGTCGTCGGCAAGCTGAAGCAGCACTCTTGTTGCGAGGTACGGAGCCGACGTCGTGCCGTATGTCACTGTCGTCAACCGGAAGTCTCGTACTTCCTCGCTTGGATCGTCGCTCCAGACGACCCTCTGGCAGTCTCTGTCCTCTGGGTGCACCTTAATCTGGCGAAACATTTTCACGATGTCCATTGAAAAGGCGTGTCGATGGAACCGCCACCTCGTTATGATGGCGCAGAGGTCAGTTTGGAGCTTCGGTCCGGCAGCCAGGTAATCATTAATACTCCTGCTTCCACCTGAAACATATGACCCGTTAAAACTACTCTTATTTTTCTTGTAGCTCCATTTTCCCGCCACACGGCGTGATGCGGAAAGTAATTCTCCCCCCCCCCCGCCAGTCGAGTGCCGCGAGACAGACTCCATGTGCCCGAGCCGTTCGTACTCCTCCAGAAATTCGGAGTATTTCCGTCGTAGCATCTCGTCCTTCTCTCGTCGCCTTTCGGAAGAGACAAGCAAGCGAACGGCAACTGGCCGCGGAACCCCGACATCGGCGCTCGGGGTGGTGGTGAACGGCAAGCGGACAACGTAGCGTCCTTCCTGGTCCCGGTGATGCGTATCCTGGAAGTAACTTTCGCATGCCTCATCCTGCGGCGAGCTTATCGGTCTTGTGGGTACTTCCTCTAGCTCCCAGAACCTCTGCCAATCGTCTCGAAGGTTCCGTGCAGGCTGAACTAACAAGGATCGCACCCGATGTTCAGTGCCATCGGTCGTCGTGGAAGTTGCGGTGCCCATTGGCGCCCAGCCGAAGGGCGTTCGAACAATCGGTGAAGTGCCCGTTGGTCCGGTCCGATTCTCGAGAAGGAGGTGACCACACGCATCTGCCCCGAGAAGTACTTCCACCCTATTCGGAGAGCGGAGGTCCTCGTCGGCCAACGGAAGTCCGTGCAAGTGAGTCCACTTCTCATCGTTAATTTTTACCGCTGGAGTCGGAGCGGTGATTTTTCGCGTCACCAACGCGTTTAACGAAAGTTGAAATTTTGGGTCGCGACTAGAGCAGCACGGATACTTCGTGGCGTACCGTGCCCACGTTTATCTCTTGATACCCGGTTAGATGCACCTCCACGTTCCGGTGCGGAAGACGTAACGCCTGTACGATATTGTCGGTAACAAACGACATCTCAGACCCGGGGTCGAGCAACGCGCGCGCGAAAACACTCCGACCACTCGGGGATTTCAACTGAACGCTCGCGGTGGCCAACAGAACAACGCGATTCGTTCGAAACGTATTCACCGAGCTCAAGCTCGGCTTCGCGAGTGCTTCACTATTCGGGAATTCCTCGTGTAGTGAAGTGTGGTGATGACCGCCGCAAACCATACACCTGTATGAAGATGAGCACGCCGCGAGCAAATGTTTTCCCGAGAGGCACGAAATGCATAGTTTTGCTTGATACACGAAGTTTTTTCGTTCCTGCGCACTAAAGTTTTTAAATTGTAAGCAGTGCCCTAATTGATGGTCTTCCGAGCACAACGGGCACTTTTGGATGCTATTGGCTTTCGCAGGTGACTTCTTCGTTGCTTGAACCGTCATGGTGGTCCTCTGCTCGGATCATCGCGACTCTTCTCGTTTGGGCGTTGTTGACGGACTCGTCGACTCTTGTATTGAGGCAAGAGCGTGAATTCGTGATTCTAGGAAGTCTTGGATTGCTTCGAATGTCGGCATTATCGTCGTATCCGAGAACATCTTCTCCCAGTCTGTTGCGAATAAACATTGCCAAGTAAAATAAACGTTAGAAGAAGTGGGTGGAGTGTAGCAGCCCACTTCGCAAAAGTGCCGATCGGGAACGGAATTGAGCACACGTGGTCATGAATAGCGAGGATGTAAGGTTAGGTATAAACTTTTTACACACTTACATAACGGTGGCTTTATTTCCCCTTACGGTTCGTCCGATTAACAATACGGTATTCTCGCGAAGGCTTAGTACTAGCCCATGGAGTTTACAGCAAAATTACGCGGCGCGTGCACACGTGTTACTTTCGCGCCAGCACAAACGGGAAAGAAAACGAAACGTGTGTGGCTTGCTCGCCAACACGGCGAGAAGAAAAGAAATCGGGTTAATACTTGCTCGCCAGCACAAACGAGAAGTAAAACCGAACACGCGTGGCTAGCTCGCCAGCACAAACGAGTAGCTAAAGCACGCGTGGCTTATTCAACGGCACGACTGAGGAGCAGACACACGTCCGTCCAGTTCGATAGCCCGTACGAGAAGAAGGAAGTTCGCACAATTCGGCAAAAACATGGTGGTTGGGGAGCGGATGACGGTGCGCGACACCACGCGCGAATCCATTACACCTGTCAGCCATCGACAGTTCGCCGATTAGGCTTGTCGCGCATAGATGGTGTGACTCGCGTCAGCACGCGGTACGACGTGTGTCACACCATTGAAATTTCAACTCACTTTTTTAGCGCGGCCAGAGCATCTCGAGCTTGACAAAATTCGTCGAGGACCCGGGTTAACTCCTCCTTAGTCGCTCGTTTTATCGGTGGGCAGTCCAAAAGTCGTGCGATATGAGCGGTTGTCAACACGCGGATGCCTCCGTAACGACGTTCGAGTGCCGCCCACGCCGCCGAATAATTGGCATCAGTCAGAGACATACGCGCGATAACCTTGGCGGCCTCACTGGTGAGGTTCGCCTTTAGATATTGCAGGCGTCGAACGTCCCGCAATCGATTGGAGTTATGAATCGTCGCTTTAAACGAATTGCGAAACTCCTCCCATCGTAGGAGATCGCCGGAGAACTTTTCAAACGCGAGGGTCAGCAATTTGGGTCCCGCGGTGCACTCGTGAGACACAAGTCCAGCCGGAACTGCTGCGGTGGTTGGCTTCAAATTTTCCAATCTTTCCGCCAGTTCAGTCGAATTCCGAAGTTACGCCTCTTCGACTTCATCGAATAGGTACTCCTTTCGGTAGTCACTGGTGGTAATATCTGGCATCGATGTCATCGCGCGATGATTTTCGGTAAAATCACGCCAGTAGTTCTTCAGCAACGTGATTCGTTTTTGCAACCCGATCGCGGTGAGTTTCGCGGCCCCCAATTTGTCGGTATTCACAACGAAGTTTTTGATGCGGCCTGCGATATCTTCCTGAGATCGCACCTCATCGCTGAACATTTGCGACATTGTATCGACAGTTAAATTTGAACTGGACAAGAACAACACTGGCAATCGAAAAGCGAAAGAAAAAGAGTCCTTACGCGTACCACGGTAAACACCGTGACTCGATCAATTCAAAAAGGCGGTTGGTGTTTACCGAAGGTCACGGAATTTTCGACTCCGTAACGGTGGCCACGCGGTCTAATTACCGGTTCTCGCGAACGGACTCACGAATTCTATTCGTAGGATTCACTTTTATGCTCTTTCTTACAGATGTTCCCTGATTGTCCTCGACGTGGCCTCAGACGTCGCTCGATGCACTCGCGGATCCCTCGAGGAGACAAACGGAAGGAAACAACGTTGGAGCTCGCGGTGACGCACAGAATTCTTCGTAATTCTGCGGTGGATAAATCTTGACGACGGAATAGAGCAATCGGCACACTCTATTTCCCGTCCCGGGTTTCGGCACCAAAATGTTTAATCTTCGTCGGTTTCCGTTGCGAGGAACCTTGGACTTACGATAAATTGATAGTCGATGAATACGGATTAAATGTAATTTGTCGGATTTTTGTGGGAGAGCGTTTCTGAGTTTATTTATCACCGTCACTCGCGATACAAAGAGAAACAACAACTTATTTAACAAGCGTCGGCTTGCAACTATCGGTGCGGCAAGGATAGAGCACTTAAAAACTAAAGAGGTTTAAAATGTGTCGTCACCGTAATTCTCGGAAAGCGCGAGAAGAAGTGCTGATAAGAAGAGACGGAGAAGAAGCGCGGACTCGACCGTTTATTGTATATGTTTGTCGCAGCTCGTTCCCCTCGCCGCGCACCTCAAGCTACTCGGTCCGCCAGAAGTGCGCGGGGAGAGAGAGGCGAGCAGCGACGCCGGTCGAGTCTTCCTCGCACAGCTGACATACACGCGAGCGTGGTGCCTCGCGCGTCTGTGTTCGAGTGTACGCACAGCTGATCGGTTCGGCTGTGTTTTCACGCATACACTCGGGTTACAATGTAACACGCAGAACGAATCACCCATGAATATAAATTTAAACTTTTACTCCCTTCAGTGTACTTTCTTAAAAATGTTATAAATAAATGTAGGAGATTCTCCTGATCGCAAATGTACGACACCAGCCAAAGTTAAGTGTTGTAACGTCAAGTGCGTCCGGGTTATTCCACCGAATATATATTCACTTCACTTCACGACCACTAATTACTTAATGTATTTTTAATCGAACATGTTGTTCCTACGTTAGGAAAATTGGTGGTCCCGAAAGAGTCAGATTCTTTTCAATTTATGAAATGTTTCACGTAGCCAAACGCTTGCACAGTAGCAGCCGCATATCCATTATTCAGTGCGTACTACCAGAACATTGTGTAATACTCCCGTGAATTGAACGTCTCTGTCGCCCGATCGCTACCTGACTCACAGGATTCATTCGAAGGAGCTTTCTTTAACCCCAAGTAGTTTCTCAGCATTACATTGTGAGTTCACTCTCACCGCGGCAACAAGATTTAGGTAAAAAGAAACCGGCGTTCTAGGAAAACACGTGCTTTGCAGAAGTGTAACGAACGAACTGTCGTGCCGTTTACATAAAATAAAATAAAGAAAATTGTTAAACACAGACATTCGGTGTAATAAGAACCGTTTCTAACATGGAGTTAGCATTCGTCGTTGAAAGTTTTTTTTAGAAGTTAATGTCAAGAGGGATAGCCGCAAACATTGTAACCTTACGTTTGTCTACTTTGATAATTCGAGAGAGCTTTTACTAATTTTCTATGCTCCGCCTGATCTGAGGGCGGTTACTCTACTTCCTACCTCGGTGTGTCTGACTTAAACCGCGTAGGAAGGCAGGGTTCGTGCCTTTGGGCACGGAAAGACCTTGAGTGGAATAGGTACTTGTAGAGAACGGCAAACAATTCTGGTAAAAGTGTTCTATATTCTGAGATGCCCTTGTTACACATGAATGTATGTCGTTTCGCGACGCAGTTCAGAATCCTCGTGGTTAATACGCACGCACGCTTTGCACAGTGTGCAATACACACTTTCACTGTTATCTTACTGGGAATTGCTCGATTCGCGAACCTAACTGGAGATGCCTTGAAATCTGTGGCAGGAGGTGATGGTCCTGCCGATAATTCGGCAGGACTTCTCACGTGGAGACACACACAAAACCACCGTCAGCCCGTGATGCAAAAGAAGTCGGTGAGAGGTACAATAATGTGGCCCCTGCACCGATTTCCAGCACCGGTAGACAAACGTCGATCGTGCTCAATCGTACACTCTGTTTGGGAACGAAGCCCCGTGACTAGATGTCTCAGCAGCCGATGATTCTACCGATAAATCGGGAGAACTTCTCGGGTGGAGACACGCACTAAGTCTTAGTCAATCCCCAGTTGTAAAGGCGCAAGTGAGAGATACGTACACGTGGTCCCAACATTTATTTCCAGAACCGAAAGAGAAACTTAGGTCGTGCTTAACCTAGCACAGTCCTCGGAAACTACGTCCCTGATGTATATGTCAGTCAACCGATGATTCTTCCGAGTACACGGGAGAACTTCTCGGTTGGAGATGCGTACAAAACCTTAGTTAATCCGCAGGGCAAAAGATACGAGGGACAGACACGCAAGCGTGGTCCGACAA